CACTTGACCCCCACTTACCTGTATCCACCCAGGAGTAATAAATGGGTACCAGCATTAAGGGGGAGTAGCCTGCGATGGACTGGCTTCCCATCTACAACACTAAATGTAGGGGGAAATAGAAATATTCTTGGGCGTTTCATGTCACAGAAACTGGAAATAAACAATGCCTGATGAGCCACATTGGCTCCGGATAGACTTTATCATCTGCTCGGTTTTAACTTGCAATTTGGAGTTGAAGATCAAAACATTTTGGTCAAGAATAAACAGCCAATCAAATAGAGTGCATTGACCAATCAGATCATGACTTTTGGTCAGGTGACCACAAACAAAAGGTGGGCGGGGCTTATGGCAAAATCTGGAACGATCCATTGTCCATCTTCTTCTAGTGCGCAAAATAAATGTACAAGTATCCATATGGGCACGACCCTGCTGCATGTCCTGAACAATAAACGGCTCGAAACCAAGTCTAGCAGTTTACTCAGAAAACCCCACTTCAAGGGATCCGCGGGACCGACCGTGCCTTGTCTGGGTTTTTATTTGTTACGGGAAGTGCTTGTTCAATGCCCGACGCATCCCGGGGCCGAGCTTTGGCTCGCACGCCGACCCAGGCCGGGCCGCGATGATCGTGACATGACCGGAGGTTTACGGAGATCGGAGGAAGATGGATACGGATGTCTTCAGGAGGAACATGAATGCAGGAAAAGAAAAAACAGGAAAGGGGAGGTTTTTTTTTTTACCGGGACGGACGATGGATCTGCGAAATGAATTTTAGGGCGACGGGATAATATGAGGAAAAAATGAAATGATAGGGCGATTGTCAAGCAAGTAGGTTGATTGAGTGCTCAAAAGAGGATTATTTTTTTGAAGGGGGACGTTTGGAATGACACTAATTGGTTATGAATTATTGAAGGAATAGGATAAAAAAACCACGAATACCGGTAGAACAAGTAGCTTAAACTAATCACGAGTGTAACTGAGTTACTCGCCCATCGGTACGTCTTCCCATTCTGCTTATGGCAAAACTAACTCACTGCATCATCACAAAACATTTCACAGAAATTTTTTTTTGCATAAATCTCTCATACATGATGTATGCAAATTCATGTACTGCTTGAGGTCCACTACCGAGAAAACATTCAGTATTTTGTAATTTTTGGCTTATGGGCGAATGCAGACTTGGCGTCGCTGGGATTTATCGATGCTGCTGCCAAAGAATCCGTACCCCAAGGCCCAACGGGCTTCACCCTATCGACATCCATGTTGTCTGGCTTCCGTTGGACTGTCGTGCCCCGGATATTTTTTTTAAAGCGTAATCTTCAGCAAACCGGCTTAACGGGGTGGGTGCGAAACAATGAGAAAGCTACATGTATACAACATGATTACATACAGGGGAGTGAAGATTATCATGATAATCTGGTTTAATCTGGTGAAATCTGGTTTAATCTGGATTAAGAGGATTGTGAGAGTTGGCATCTTTTGAATGACTTGTTTTTAAGTGCCTGTTTCTATCCATTTCATAATTTATTTAAAACAAACAAAACTGCAAACTGCTTACTGAGTGGATTGACTTAATATATAGAAATCAAAGAAGTAAAAGGTCCGGACATTATTATTCTAGTACTGGTAGGATCTTTCTAAAAAGCAAAATGACAAAAAAAACTTATAAAGGAATTTTATGGGTAATGGTAATTTAATTCAATTTGTATTTACCCTAACTCCCTAGGGGGGGGGGGGTGCAAAATTATATTGAAATTGGAGGGTTCAGGACTGTTAGGGCTATTTACAAATTCATTGTGGAAATGCAGCAGTTTTTTTTATTAAAATAGAACATATTCGGGCAAATCCAGCATAAATGATAACTTCCGTGACAGAGCTTTTAAGAGCTCAGTGAATAAACTTGGTCTTTGAAATCTTATACATGCAGCGGTACATCCATCATCTAAATGGTCAAGGAGATTACAGACTAGGAGTTTTGGATCATTTCTCTGAATCATTATAGATATCATGGTTCAATGGCTCGGTCACGGACATATACATGTACCACTTTCTTTCATTATGCTGGAAGTGCCCACATGTTAAAAATTCCTGAGAGAAAAGAATGAATTTGTTGAAGAGTGCAGGGTGAGTGACTTTAACCGTTAACACATTTCACCGAGTTGCATCTCAATAACATCATCTTTGGATTTCCTTCTCCGTTACCATTAACATCATCATCTGTTCCCTACGACTCCATCCCTCCGTCTCCATCTTCGGAGGTGTCGATCGACTGAAAAATCACACCTGCAGTTTCGACCTCGCTTTTTTTTTTTCTTCTCCACCCAAGCAAAGAGGAGAATGAAATATAAGTCCTTAAACGTCGCCGAGAGTGGAGTCTTCTGTTCGCGGTGTCGGATGTTGTACGAGTGGCCATTATCGGGAGCCTTGTCGTTTTGGCGCACACCCAAGCGCAGGGATCGCATTATGCATGCGCGGGTTGGGAGGGAATAAGGCGTGATATGAAATGAATTTTTTTTTTTTTTGGCCGGCGGCCATTTTTAGCGAGACTTGATTGATGCATTTTTCATTGTGTTAAGTCTTTGGTGAAATTGGGAAATGATTCTTTCATGTAGACTACAACATTAGGCGACAGATCTTAAAGGGATATATACAATGTACATTTGTACAACATTAAATTTTGCTTTGGCTGTAATTTTCAGAAATGGATGGATTTGGGGGGAATTTTGTAGCAAATATTGTTACACTGACTTGTTTGAAGTTTGGTGTTCATATATGAGTCTAGTTCCCTGACCCACTTCAGATGAAATGGAGGTGGGTAAAAACTCATTTTACTTACGTGTAAGAGCTTTCAAGGTTTCAAGGTCTTTTTCAAGGGTGATTTTCGTAAGAAATCAATATACATGTACCAAACATAATTGCAAATTTTAGAATTTTGGCACGTTAATCTTCGTATTCAAGGGTTCCGGAAACGTGCCACCAGTGATGAACTTTTACATGTACATAATGTACATGTAGGCTCTATTGTCTGTTGGTCGTTCTTTATCTCAAGACGGAGCGGCAACAAACTCTCCCTTTCCGTCATGGCAGTGAACGCATGCCACTCCAAGATTTCGTTACACATCTCCGGGATGCCATTCAAGCTTACTCATGACACCCCGTCGCTTCCCCTCGGAGCAGAAGTGGGAGGCTCTGTAATTAGCCAGTTAGGATTGCGACAGATCGGTGAACAGATGGGCTGACAGAATGGTAGTTAAGTGGTGTCGCGTGGTAGACATTCTTGGACCCGGTAGGGGGCTAGTTGGGGAATCTTTAGCGAGACGGTTTCGAGACAAGATACGATCTTGACGCGTCTGGACAGGGATGGGTAGCCGTCAGATATTGTGACATGTTGACAGCTAAGGTTTGAGATGGGTGGGGTTGTTTTTCAAGAAATTTTGTTTTGGAAAGCTGATTTTCGGCGTTTAGTGTCAAAATTTAGTTTTGATTGTGTTGTGATTGGGATCTGTGAACCATGTCAGCTACAGTTAGCTTACTATGCCTTGTAAAATGATATAATACCAAACAAACACCTCAATACATCAACTAACAAACAAACACAAAAGCCCCCAAGCAAAACAATGCAATTAATAAAGATCCTGCATAAAGAACATGTACAAGACAAACCATTTACGTGTCCACGGAGGGATTTGTCAGGATTTTTGTTCGGTGTTCAGGATTTAAAAAAATCCCTTCTGAAACGTGGAATTACTGAGATTTTACCATAAAGATGTCATTTAAAGGTAGTGTAGATCATTTGTCATTTTTTCATTTCAAGCAACAAAAGTGCTCAAAATTCTAAAGAACGTTGCTTAACGACTAACTCGATGAAGTTTTAGCTCTGCGAATGATGTACATTCCGAGAAAACAATACTCTAGGATCTCAATTTCAATTCAAAAGTTGCCGAGCCATGTTTTGAATTGTGCCTGAAATCAGCATCTGGGACACATTCTTATTCAGCCGATTATAGCCACGCGATGTCACGCACTGAACCGATGAATAACACCCCACGAGTGTGCGACACATCAACACTTGCATGCACTCGTTCACAATGTTCTCGTTCACAATGTTCTCGTTCACAGATTCGCCGAATTACAAACCAACTACGAACAGAAATTTCCAAAAAATGCGTCACTTGACGCATCTTTGGAAATGCCTTCTTTTATAGTTTTCTTCAAAATGACAGCATGCCACAAAAAAATAATTTCACAGGCAGTTTAGTGCCATTGCTATCTTTATACCAAGTAAGCTTTTCAACAATAATTTGGTGAGATGAAATGGGGTGAGATGGCCTAGCGGTTAAGAACACTGGACTCATGCTCTGGTGTTTCAGAGGCAATGGTGGTGTGGGTTCGAGCCCGGCCCCAGACACTTGTGCCCTTGAGCAAGGCACTTAACCATTATTGCTTCGTCCTTCGGATGGGATGTAAAGCTGTAGGTCCTGTGTGTTGTGTAATGCACTTAAAAGAACCCAGCTAACACTTATCACTATAAAGAGAAGGGGTTCGCCCCGGTGTTACTGGAAGTTTTCCTCATACATACAGTAGGCCTATAAGGATGCAAGGATGAAGGTTTAAAGTTGGTGTGATATTCTTGAGTGAATTTTACCGACAGAATCAGAACCAGAACCAGATAATTTGGTCAGTTAGTTTATGGATAGCTGCAAATGATCTGCTCTACCATTAACTATAAAAGTTGTGCGTAAAACAAAAGAAATAGATATTTTAAGAGGTGCTTTTAAGGTCAATACAAACATACCGGTGTACCATAGACCCTACATTGCTCTTGGGCCCTCGGTGACCCTCGAACCCTCGGCCAATTATTTCATGGATTTTTCATTTTTTCCTCGAATCTCTTTCCCTGCTTAGAAAGTCCAGATTTTGTTGTTGGATTTAGATTCATTTTAGTCTTGAGAAAACCCTTTTACTCAATGTTTCTTCCCTTTTTTGGTTGTCATCTTCTACAGGTCAAGAGAAGGTTTTCAAGTGCCTAGGACTGGACATTCTGGACAATTCCTTTGAGGGTTACAACGCGTGCATCTTTGCTTACGGCCAGACAGGTGAACATTAAGGATCTTCCTCACAGACTTTTTCCCGCATTTGTGCTGGCCTTTTTTCCTACTGTCTACAAATTCCATTTGAAAAACAAGTGCGATTACACAATAACCTCTGACCGTCTTGCATGAAAGTCTTGCATGAAATGATACAATTACTCACTTGGTCGTGATTGTCAATTGAAATAAGAGTTTCCCCATTTGTTGAAAGTGACAATGCAACATAATAGCAACCATCTAATACAACTCTGTCTTCACTCCTTCGCCCTGGAGACTCATCAAACTGACACAGGGCCAGAGGCAGGGGTGATGTATAGTGACAGGTGTGTAGAAGACCCCTAACTTCCTAAGTTCGTAGGCACAAAAATACCACCTGACTGTAACGTTACCACACATTATCTTGCCTCCAAGTACAAAATTTTCATAAACAACTTCACAAATTGCCACAAACAATTTTGTCAAGTATTTATTGTATTTTGTTTGATGTTTTTGACAATTACAATTTGGTACTTACAGTTTTATGGGTGAGCTAGGAGGTTCATTTTTTGGTCAATTTTTGGGGGGTACCGACCGACCAACACCAGAGTGACTTGAAGCAGCTCTGTTGCCAGAGCTTAAAAATACACCTTTTGCATTAAAGAGCTATTTTTGAGGTCATTTGTGTTATTTTAATTCAGTAACAATGAATACATTAAGGTATTCTCATGCGTTGTCCAGTGAAATGAAAACATGCACTTCAAGGTGGCTGACAAGGCGAAGATCGATACACATACCAAGTTTCAACCATTGTTGGCATTCAGATCTGCACAAAATTAGACTTAAGCTATACCTGAAACACAGAAATAAGCTACATGTATGTTGTGGTAGTTTGGATTTGAGCAAATCAAGTGTGCACATTTTTCTGGAGGTCATGTTTGGCTTAGTAAGGTCAATATCCATATTTGAGCCAATGCAATTGAAAAAAAAAGAAGAAAACTGTAAGAATTTCTGTACCGTGGTTTTACCTTTGAAAAACCACCTGAAACAGCGCTTTAAGAAAATAGAAAATTTCCCCGTTTTCATTATGCTTCAAAGATGTGATGTGAATGTACACGCTTGTCTAAATGTGTACTCGCTTTGATAATGCACTCAGTTTAAAAGCTAGGCTCTCTCAGTGCACAATGTCAGCCTGCGGTGAACGCGAAAACTTGTCACTGTCTTGGAACAGTGCGGTTCGTGACCGGTCAAAAGTGTATCAAAGCCAGGACATAACCGTACTTTTGATGACTAATGCGTACCTACATGTATCAACTGTTCTCTGACTCTATGAGTCGGGGAAAGGCAATCACTATATGGAAAGGCAATCACTAGTGCGCTTCACGTACATGTATGTATGTCAGAGATTGTCAATTAAATTTTGCCCGAGGGGTGGGGATTTTGTCACTTCAAAAGTGACAATCCCCACGTTTTGGGTGGGGCAGCCGGGGGGTGGGGGGCTATTGAAAACCCATAATTAAGGCCTGCCTGCCCAGAAGCCCAGAAGGTTTAAAAAACGTAAAGTGAAACAATTTACAATCTTGTCAAAAGTATACTCGCTTCGTACACAGAGTTAAAGGTACCGGTACAGTCCATCATTTGTAATTTGTGCATTTTGTTCGTTTGAAGCAACAAGCGTGCTCAAAATCCAAAGAAGGGTGCTGAACTACATGTACTAACCTGTGATGAAGTTTCAGCTCAGCTTCAGCTGTATATTTCGAGAAAAACAGCATTCTAGGATCTCGATTTCAAATCAAAAGTTGCTGTTATCATGTTTTGAATTGGGCCCGAATTCAGCGTCAGAGACACATTCTCACTGAGCCGATTGCAGCTACGCAATGTCGCAAATTGATCTTACGAATAAAGCAACCGCACGCGGGAAATTTCCAACGTTCCTTTCCATTGTTGGAAAGGTCTTCTTTCATTGATTTCTTCAAAATGACAGCGTGCCAGAAGAATAATTTCGTAGAGAGTTTAGTCCCCTTACTACCCTTAACCGAGAATGTTTTTCAACACTTTTTACGCCAGTGTCTTTTTGGATAGCTGCAAATGATGGACTGTAGCTTTAAAAAACAAGTATAATACCCAGTCCACATATGCAGCCTATAGCCAAATGTTGTCGCTATTTCAGAAAAGTGTTGTTTCTGTGACCGGTCATAAGTTCATCGAGGGATATAGCGTCCGTCTTTCGATTATACTGAGCCTAGATTTCCAACTGTCGATCGTTGTTGCTTTAAATTCGGTTGTCAAGGTATCATGTTGCCTCTTACGTTTGGGCCGCATCGTCAGAAGACTCTTTTTGATTCGGCGTAAATCTCTAAGATTCAATGACCTCTGGAAAGTGGGGATCAGTGTTCAGAGCATTTTCAAAAAGTATTTTTAAGTTGTACGTATATTGTAGGCCTGCATGATGTGATTTAGGGATTTACAATTTAGTCGACGGATAACAAAATGTCATTTCAAATTTTAGATAAATTTTCTGGATGGAGGGCAGAAGCAGTCAGTAACTCTTTTATTTTTTTGTTGGGGGAGGGATGTACATGTACAAAGCTACATAAGTCCTCAAAATTGTGCTCTGTTTTTTTATCCTTTGAGGGTTTCTCTTGTCGTCAAACTCATTTTTATATCGCTACCCTTTAATTGTGATTTATACGGTATGTTAAGTGTTAACCTTTATTAACATGATTAAATCATGTTAATTGTTTTTAAAAGCTGATAGTCACGTAAGCATCCAGGCATATTCAAAGTAGACTGTTTCGCAATCTGAAGGGCATTTGTTGTACAGATTGGGTCTGAAAACAGACCACTGCACAGCGGTCACACGCAGCTAGAGAAAAGAAAGGTCTGAAACCAGACCAGCAATTGCAGGTGAATCCCCCCAACATGTCAGCAAACTACACTGGTTTCGGTCTGTGAATCTACTTGTGACCGAACTTGTGATGGATTTGGCTACAACGTGGGGCAAGTTCGATCAAGAGCCATCGTTAACCATAGTTTGACTAACTCTGATCGAACTCACGCTAGTCGACGATGATTGGACTAGTCTAGTCGACTATTCAGGACCATGCCTCCCGCGGTTGGTCATGCCACGATATGGCTGGTTATCAACAGCAATTTTTCATAGCTTAGTGCAGAGGGGACCAACTGTCAAAAATGCTGTAAAAACAAAAACTGTGTGCGAGTGCTAAGTTTCATTTCATTGTATAGTTTTTCCATGTTAGTTTACGAGTCTGTCACTTTCGTCACCATTGTGCAATAATAATGGCGATTATTTAAGGTGTCTTAAAACTACACAATCACTTATATGTGTAAATAAACAGAAACATCCAGTGTTTAATAAATCTTTTCAATGAGCGACCACCTTTTTTCTCAATGTCGTTGACACGACAAAAGTACGATTAGATTCGTTCGCACTTCAACTTGAGCGTGCATGCGCTAGGTACATGTACGTCAAAAACCAACCGCTAGTTTACCATTGGTCCTTGATCGAACTTGCCCACGGTTATCCCCAGCCCCGCTCTTGTCCGACACCCCCCCCCCCCTCCCTCCACTGCCGGCCCTGCACGCCATTGATTGAAGAACACTCGTCATCGTAACATGATCGCCAGAAGTGTTGCGGCCCGCTAGGACGCACTGCATCAACATATCGACAGGAAGGGCAATCTGAAATGAAAAAAAGAAAATGTGAAAAACAAAGTTAACGGGAAACCAAACGATTGTCCAGGGAGATCAATGAAGGATCATTCAAAATGGGAAGAAAAAAAAAATGAAAAAAAAAAAAAAAAAATGAGAACCAAATTATTCTAGGAGATATTTGAGCTCAGTAATTCAGTCTGCAATTTCCTGTAAAGTTTTTACTTTTCAAAATTGTTCTTGACTTTTGAACTGAAAAAAAAAAGAGTAGAAAATTTTCCTTTTTTTTCTTAACCAAAAGAAAACCTGATATGAGGGAACGTAGAATCAATAATTGATGGGAAAAGGACAATCTAATTGAAAAGCAGTTAACTTAAACTCATTTTTGTCTCACCTGGACTTTGTTCAGGAAAGAGACTTCAATTGCTACATGTATGTCTGTACATTACAGAATACCGATACGTGTAATGAGTATTTTGGTTAAATTTTCTTAAAATTGGTCTCGTTTGAAAAGTTCAAGTCCAATTTGGGCAATTCACAATGCAGTGTGCCCCCAAGAGTTTGCCATTGAGAGTCAACTTTGCAAGTTTACGGTCGACAAAACATGGCCCATTTGAATGAGTGTCTGTAGACAACTTGAGCTAATTTGTTGTAGATTTGGGCATAGCGTTCTGCCGCCTTACCAAAAATCACCATATTGATAAAAAGACAAGAAAAGGGCAAACATATACTCGAATCATACGCATACGAAACTACTGACCGGAAAAACGAACAATTTCAAATGTCCCGCGCTGCGAATTTGTCGACCATCTCCCACAATGCATTGGGAAAAATGAACTCTCTGTGGCAAACTCTTGGTGGCGCACTACCTTGTGAATCGCCCGAATTGGAACCAAAGTTGGGTCAAACACTGTAAATGCAACATGGGAACCTTTACATGATAATGATGTTTAAGGTCACACACCAAAGTCAAAGGTCGCTCTTTAAAGATAATCGCAAAAGCAGATAAGACGCGCGGTTCAAGAACCGCCTAGTTATGAAGCCCTGCCTTTCTCAATCAATAATATTTCCACATTTTTTTCCTGCAGGTTCGGGGAAGTCTTACAGCATGATGGGAACGGAGGATAACAAGGGGATCATACCGCGGCTGTGCGACACGCTGTTTGAGCGCATAGCGGAGCACGACGACGACCCATCCCTGTCTTTCAAAGTGGAAGTGTCCTACATGGAGATTTACAATGAGAAAGTCAGGGACCTCTTAGATCCCAAGGGGTGAGTTTTTTTTCTTGGAAAGTGGGTGTGTCAAATGAAAGAAAAAGAGTTTGTTGTGCTATACATGTACATGTGATAAACACCGCAAAAAAGAAGAAGAAAGTCCACACTCATTGGAGGGGTCATCATTTTCAATCTGATCGTCTTATGATAACGTCATTTATGTACACCTTTGGCAAATTTTGTTAGCTACATTTTGATACCCCGTTGCTACCAAAGACTGTAAATCGTCAAAGATTGACAACGGTTTAGGAAAAATTATGCAGTTTTTGAAAAGTTGCAATTTAAGAGATACGCGAGGAGAAATTGCTAAGGGGCAACACGCGTGCCCGTTATTCATTGGCCCCTATCGCCTGCACAGTGCCCATAAAAGCCCACGTTATTTAATCTCGCATGCTTCCATGCATACAAGCACTTTGTGATTGATATTCCCTGCCGTCTGTTTCGGTTAGTGTCACAAAACACAGCAATTTCCACTCGACTTGAGTACATTGTACTCTTTAAATTTGAACTTTTCCAACTGCATCATATTTCATAAACCGTTGTCAATCTTGGACGATTTACAGTCTTTGGTAGCAAACAGGGTATCAAAATGTAGCTAACAACATTCCCCAAAGGTCTGTATACATTTAAATGACGTTATCATAAGACGATCACATTCAAAATTGTGACCCCTCCAATGGAGTGTGGACTTTCTTTTTTCAGTGTTTAGCTGATTTGTGCAGATTCCTTTAAAAAACAAAATGAAGAATATAATTGACAATCATTGTAACGGCTTTAATTTATCCGCTATGAAAATATTAGTTTGATGAGAATGCAGTTTTTTGTTTACATGTATACTGAGAAGGTTTATTGTATTTTTGTATTTACATGTAATTTGGTTGAGGGAGTTTTGAAAGATAATATGCACAATCCAATGTTTGACTATGTTGATCCAAAAATTTTACCCTGATTTTGTTTTCTTTTTTTTAGGAAGCAAAACTTGAGAGTTAGAGAACACAAGATCTACGGACCGTACGTAGACGGTCTGTCAACATTAGCTGTGTCTTCATTCGAAGTAAGTGCAACGTCCTGAAGTTTTAAATGGAATCTTTATGACTTGAATTTCACAACAAACACCTTTGAGTCTCATGCACTTTTTGGAATTCATGCCCTTTTTGGAATTTAAGCCCTTTTTGGAATTCAAGCCCTCTTTGGAATTCATGCCCTTTTTGGAATTCAAGCCCATTTTGGAATTCAAGCTCTTTTTGGAACTCAAGCCCTTTTTGGAATCTAAGCCCATTTTGGAATTCAAGCCCTTTTGGGAATTCAAGCCCTTTTTGGAATTCAAGCCCATTTTGGAATTCAAGCCCTTTTTGGAATTCAAGCCCTTTTTGGAATTCAAGCCCTTTTTGAAATTCAAGCCCATTTTGGAATTCAAGCCCTTTTTGAAATTGAAGCCCATTTTGGAATTCAAGCGCTTTTGAAATTCAAGCCCATTTTGGAATTCAAGCCCATTTTGGAATTCAAGCCCTTTAAAAGGTTGTTTCATTAAAGGGGATTACAGCTTTAAAGGGGCACACAGCCTTAGGGAAGCTCACAGCCTTAACCAGCTCACGGCCTTATGAAGGGGCTAAAAAACTCCAAAACGAACACACGCCCTGGCTCATAGCCTTGGGAGGGCTCAAACTCCGAAGGGGATCACAGATTTGCAGGGGATTGGATATCCTTTAATACCCAACTGAACAGCGCATTAGAAAACTCGTTTATTTTCACCGCAAATGTAGAATATAGATGCCTTGATGTCAGAGGGCAACAAGTCCAGAACCGTAGCGGCAACCAACATGAACTCGGAGAGCAGTCGGTCACACGCGGTCTTCAACATCACGGTGACGCAGACCCTGACGGATATAGAGACAGACGTGAGTACACACACCCTTACAATCTTACAGTCAAATTTGGTTCAATTTCTGCAGAAGAAGAAGTTCAGTTTTTTTTTAAGTGCGTAGAAGCATAGACTTTTACTTTTCCCAAGCTAGTTTTACAACTGCAACACCATAGAGCAAGTTCGGGCAAGCGAAGAATGTCCCCCAAAACTTTGTTTTGAGTAATCGACGCCTGAAATCAGATATATGTGAAAATTCATATCAAACTTGATTTTTAGGTATTCTGTATTTTTGAGTAGCCAAGGTATATCAGATTCACATGGTGCATTTTTGTTTGGGGAAAATATACCCCCAAAGTGGAAAAACTGAAAAACGTTTTTCACTGCCCTTTCAGGAGCAATTCGTATTTTTTTCCAAAGCCGTTTTTCTAAAAATGAGGTCGGCGAAGTTCGGTGCAACACTGTTGAAGTTCTTTGGATTAAATTAAGGTACAGAAATAATTTTGGTATCAATTTTAAACACAACACCGTTTTGAGATTCTGTCCACGGATCACAAAAAGTTCAGTGATCTTTCAGCAAAACGAAAACAAATCACATAAGGATGTGTGTGATGAATTGTTTTTGTTTTGCTGAAAGAACGCACACTTTTTTTGTGATCGTGGACAGAACTTTAAAACGGTGGTTGTGTTTAAAATTCCGTAACTTGAAAAGTACATGAGTGATTTGAATGAATCTTGTACTAAAAGAAAGCTTATGAATTGGGCTTTCATACCCTAGATTTTGAAAATGCTACATGCAGAACTTCACTAAAACAATGTTCCCGACATTTGGGTTACGGTTTTTTTTACTCACCCTGTACATGTACATGTACATGTATGGTTAACTATAGTTGCCCCCGAACTTATAAGCTCCAAGCTTATTAGAACAAAATTTGAAAATTTTCACTCAAAAAAATATTTTAGAAAGTTGAAGTGAAAGTTGCATTTTATCAGAGTGCTTTTGCTGAGAGGTGAATATTAGTACTCATGGTTTTACATTGTTTCACTTGCACGATTCAATTTTAAAATGTTTTGTGTTGCCGTTGCTTTTCGTAGTTTCATTTTCCCAGTAGTGCTGTCTTTACATGTCTTGTGTTTTCCCTCGTGTTCTCTACCTCCCTCTTTTAGGAAAATGGAATACCCATTCGTATGGTAAGACAAAGGAAATGCTTTATTTCCAGAATCAACCATTTTCGTTGAGGTATGAGGAATGCTTGGGGAGGTGCATTCATTTGAATTTTCTGTTTATGCAACATCATCAGCTACAACTCTTTCCATTTTCAGTTTTTGTTTGATTTTCTTTTTTACTCTGTCGAGCTTCAAATTTTCTCCTTTTGTTTATTATTAGTCCTAACCCCAATTAAGAGATTGTTTCTATTTATACTATTTTACTTTCTGTATACCCATACAGCCACCGTACAAACTTTTTTTCTCAGGTGTGTCCATTACTACTTTGCCCAATTTATGTATCTCTTCCATAGTTTGAGTCAGGGCATTAGTTTCCATGACAACCAGACATGTTATCCCTTCATACATTTTTCACTCTCACTATAAAGTGGGTCTTTCTTGGGATGTGTAATCTACCGGGGTTTACGCATAGCTGATGATGCGTACAATGCCATTATCAAGGGCAACGTGAGACAACAGAATACAAATTTTTAGAGCGTGATAAAATGGAAATAACCTACATACCATAAAGGGTGAGGCTTGAATAAATATCTTTAATAATATCTTTAAAAAAGTAGCAATTGACATAGGTTTAAAACCCTGTTAAAAATTGGGACAAAGAAAGGAAGGAACTAAAGTCACTCTAAATACATGTAGACGAAACAAATGAAACATCTCGGAAAGCTAAAGAAGAAATTTAGTAAATTTCTAAGATTTGTGATTCTAGGATCTGGTGCTCACCATAATCTCAATTGAAGATTTTAAAACACCACAAGCAAATATTGAGAACGTGAAACTCGCAAATTCAATCATTTCTCCGTATTCTCTCAAAATAATCTCAATAATATGATCTTACAGTCAGGGCCCCCCCCCCCCCCCCGATTCACCCAAGTGCCCCCTTTGCGGACATAAATGTGCCCCCTCGAGCATAAATGTGCCACCTCGGGATGAAAACAAAACTGGCCGTAACATTTGGGATAATACGTTTTCAGTATTAATCATTTTCCAAAATGGTTTAGAGAGTTCTGATATGAATGAGGAATATGAAAACCAAGCCCCTGAAAATGCGCCCTGAAAATGGGCACATAATGCGTAGTTTGCATAATGGCCGGTTTCGAAGAGCGCCCCCTATTTTGGAAGATGGTACCGGTACCATTATCCCCCCCTCCCCCCCAACTATTTGTTTTTATGGAGGCCAAGTGTCCGGTGAAAAAAAACGTGTCACCATTTCAGCACGGATGTGCCCCCCCCCCCCCCCCCCCCCAATAAATGCTGAATGTGCTGCTGCACGAGCCTTTCACTGAGCAAGTCCCCCTTTTTGGTGATGCCCCCAGTTTGAAAACCATTCTGCCGCTGCTGCTTATACAGTCATGTGTTATTGCTCAGGTTTTTACATCCATGGCTATTGCTGGAACCAGTCTATTGTCCTCCAACTGCCTGAGCCACTGACTGACAGACTCCCCGAGTCTCTGACTGACTGACTCCCCAACTCCCCGACTGACATACAGAGTCTCTGACTGACTATTAACCAAACTGACCAACTCCCTGACTGACTGAGTCACTAACTATAAATATTGTCAAAACTGAGACTTTCAGGTCGAGCTCTGCCAGGCAAGCCTAATCTTGCTTTAATCCCCAAAGAATTGAAATAGAACAGAAAACAAACCAAGTACCGGTAGATGAAGGAAGAATGTTCCCCTTCCCTGAACCGATCCAATCATTCCCAAATCCCAAACCAATCTAACGTCTTCCACGTGAACACTCTTCCAATATTTACTCACAGCACGGTGCCGGTCCCCACGCGATGCCCAAATCACCCCTTAACGCATCCTCGGCATCAGTCGGCCCACATATCAGCTCATCCTTCACACTTGCTCCAGTTGAAAACAGCTGGGGTCGATTCCGCATATCTGCATCGGGGACCAAAAAGCTAATAACGTAATAATATTTTTTTTGTCTATCGACTCCATGCGCAAGCACCCCCCGTCAGTGGTTGCAGAGAGAAAGTTGGGGGAGACCACTGGGACAGACATTCGAGCGCATCGCCTACGGCGCCTGACGCTCACGCAAAGACGCCACGGATTTGTGCACTTTCAAAATAAAATTAGTTGTGCGTATTTTGCGCCAAAAGGGTGCAAACCTGTGTGAGCATGTTGTTCGTTTTTCCCACTGGAGATTTCAACATTGTATTCACGGCACCATTGACTGTTTGCGCTTGGCCAGGTCCATGAAGTTGCTTTTCCCCTAGACTTGTGAAGTGATCCCATACACGAATATAACGACAGGCAATGCCCTCAAATTTTTTTAAATCCTATTGGTTGCAATGCACCTTGACGATATTCTTCCTTCCTGTATTCTGATTGGCTAATTGTACATGCTTGAATGTCACATGGAATGCAGTGCTCTTTTTGTACACATGCATCATAGCCATTTTAAAACCCTCCTGCTATTTGAACAGTCACAGTCAGTCAAAAACTCCATCCACTTCCCCTGCTATACCTTTAACACAGGCTAGTCACCAACAGTCAGATCATATTTCAAGCAAACGCTTTGACTAGTCAAATTCAGTCAACTGTCAAAAGCAGGCAACTGGTAGGCACAGCTTGCTTTAATCAATCACCTATAGTCAAAGCATACATGTAGCTGTATCAAGTTATATTTAATGGTCACAGCCAGTAAATCCTGCTTAATGTAGGCTGGGAGCTCTTAACTGTTGAAAACAGTCACTTGATAGATTTTGACTGCAAGGACAACTTAATTGGCACAGAATGTATGTTTGCATAGGAGGGTTAAGTTGACCCCTACAACTGTACATCAAAGGTCAATCAGCCAATGACACGCTGGTCGATTTCAGACTCTAAATCGTCTGCAAGAGATTTTTGAGACTGTTTTCAGACTACATGTATACCTATCCCCCAGATACAAAGCCCTAAGTTGTAACACCATACAGTTTATCAGAGAAAAAAAACCACCCAAATTTCCTGTGTTCTTTACCTACCCTCCACAGTCTACATGTATTTCAGATAAAGTGCCAAATGCTTCAAAATACTACAAGTACACTAAAAGACTAGAGTACTGCATACTACAAATTACTACTGGGAGTTCTTAGTAGCTTAAATGGAGTCAGGGTTAAAGTTTAACTCCCTGTGGATTTTTTGGCAAGTAATCTTCCTGAATCCTCCAAAATTCAACAATGTGCACAAACCAATGGCACATTCAGTACTTGAAACTTGGTAGGTATATCAACCAACACAAATGGTGCACAGCACTTATTCAGTCACCACTGACCCACCATTTAAAGTTAAAGACACCGAGTTATTAAACTCCCTATTAAGAAAATATTTTGGCAGATCCTCCCCTTCATTACAAATCAGAAAAAATAAATAAATATTCCGGGGCAGGGCCCTCATCCCGTGACACAGGAAAATCAATTTCCGATCTTCCAAAAGCCCCCTTGTCACTTTGAAGGCAGAGCAGCGTTCCAGCTCCTAATCTCTGGGGAGAATTCCGGTCGAAACTGGTCGGAATATTTTTCTGCCTCTCATAAAAAATTCAGTCGTGGAGAGGCATTGATGGTCATGTTGGAAGCTTTTTGAAAGCTTGATTTTTTTCCTTTGTTTCAATCGATGAAAATGTGCAGTGGATTATAATTCGCGGAGGGATTTTATTGAATCGGCCCGCTTCCACTTGCAAAAGCATTTGGTCGATTTTTGTATTCTGACATGTGTTTCAGTTTGTCAGTGTCACTGTTTTAAAAAAAATAACGAAAGGAGAAATTGTGAACCCCAAAATCTGTTGTCAAATGAGAAGAGGGAATTGTTGATTTGAACC